TTTTCTCTCACGCCTCCCTTCTCTCCCGGGGTGCTGCCTTGAGACTGTCACTCCACCCCAGCTGCTCACTGTAGAGGCTGCAGCCCCCATCCCTCCCTCTTCACAGTCGCTGCAGGGCGTGCAGCCTGAGCTGAGCTGGTGATGTAATTTCCCATCTGCTTTTTGAATTTCTGCCTTGTTAAAAACCGTGGTGGAGAGCGGGGAGAGCAGACCCTTTGCAAGCAGCAGTCTCGGGGAATGGTCTTTCTCCTTTACTCTCCTGCTCAAGACAAGGATTTTAATGGTGCCCATTTCAATTTGCACTCTGCAGTCTCTACCCCTGAGCCAGGTTTGTATTTCACCATCCCAACTGTTTTTCACTTCACCTAAAAACAAAGATGACAAAGTAGAAAGCAGAGACATGCCCACCTGCCCTGGACTAGTCGTAACAGGCGAGGCAGGGCAGCTGCCATGACGATGGGACGCATTAGCCTCATAAAGAGCTGAGATAAAAGAGCTCTTCATTATTCCCTTGCAGATTGAGTTAAGGCTCTCGACAGCATTCAGGCTCACTGCCTTGAGTTACAGTAATTTAATTTCGCACAAGTGTCTAATGTGATGCCCTTTTCACCAACACTTCCAAACTGTGGTGTCATTCCAACGTCTGAGCCCAGGAGCTCACAGCCAGCGATCCCAATCTGCAGATCTGGATGTTTAGTGCAGCACTGGTTTTGTAGGTGACTCCACATGCAGGGTTGATCTGAATTCAGCAGTGTCTGCTGCATTATGCCAGCACTGCCAAACCTGCCTTCTTGGCCTTTGTCCTGCTCAGTTGATGAGCTCTCAAAATGTGGTCTTTTCCCTCGAGCTCTTGTCCTCTACACGTCTCCAAGGAGTCTTGATCCTTAGTTCACTTGTGCTGCTAGAAAATATCTTTCATAAGCTTTCTTTAGATCTTATCCTCTAAAGTTGCTGTATGATGCCAAGGCGTTCTCCAGGGCACAGGTGTTAATGGGAGCACCTTAGTCAACCGAATCACTGATATTTGAAAGCAGTATTTTAGTAATTCTGTATTTTCTACTCCAAAACTACTCCACCATGATTCCAAATAAGAGAATATTGCCAGAACACACTTCTTTTCACTGGTAGGACTTAGGATGAAATTAATGTTGATGAGCAAATTTGACCCTGGCTTTAACCTGAGTGCCAACACCAGCAGGTGGGTGGCACAGACACCCCCCACACGTGTACCTGCTGTTTGAAACCTCTGTCACAGCTCTGCAAGAAGGGGAGGTCTGGACCAGCAAGGGTGGTGACACATCTGTGAAGTGGTGGGGGGGAAGCAGGAGGGTGGCTGGGGGAGGAAGAGGAGCAAGGCTCGAGTAGCAGGGGGAGTTGGAGGTCAGAATTCCAGCAGCCTTGGCAGAGCTGGCTGTACTGCAGGACACGAACAGGTTGTCCACTGGCAGGACTGTGTGGGGTCACAGGATGGGGACAGCAGGTGTTACCGGCCAGGATTGAAATCCATCAGCTCCCATTTCCTGTGCTCCCATTGCCTCGACCCTTTTTTTTTGTTTTGTTTTGTTTTGTTTCTTTTTTCTTTATTCAGTTTTTTGGAGGAGGGCTATGGCTCTTTGGGAAGGGGCAGCTGCGTTAGCTCCAGTTCTAAATGGAGTTTAAAATATTAGAGGAAATCTGAAAAAAGGTGCAGCAGACAGGTGCAAAGTGACTCCTTCCTGCTGACACATTTGCAGGGCTGCATCCTGTCTGAAAGGCTGGCCCAGGGGTCTGTGTTGGCAGGTGAACAGAGGACTTGGCCTTGCAGCCAGTGTGGGAACCAGCTTCACTATGTACAAATACTGCACTGTGTCGTTGTATTTATAGCTTTCACTGAAGTCATCCATTTGTTTCAGCTGTGCTACTGAAATGCCAGCAGAAGCTGAAAAATTGCCACCAAAAATGACCAGATTTACAAAAAGTGACAACTGCTTGTTTACCAGGAGGAAGGGAGGAATGATCACAGTGTCCTGTGCATGACAGCATATTTACAGAAAGGCCTTGGTTAGTCCTTTCCATGACACCTAAATATGTCTGTTTCTCCTGTTCTCAGGTATATGGAAGAGAGTTCTGTCTTTATTTTACATTTACTCAGTACACTTCAGATCCTTAATAACTGGGAGTTGTAGTAGTTCTTATATGACAATGGATATTATGACCCCTCCAACGCTAAAATATTGCAGCAGATATATCCTCTGCCAGAGCTGCGCAGGCTGACCTCTGTGGGGTTTTTTCGTAGATTTTGGAAGGATGTTGTACCAATGTAAAGCTCCTCTAAGTGAGCTTTGATCCCATTTAATATTTCTGTTGAACCACATTCTCACAAAAAGCTTTTGAATCGGTTGGATTTGAGAACTGGAGATGATAATTTGCTTTAAAAAGGGATGGGAGCAAAGTGTGTTGGATTTGAGCTAAGGGGGTAGAGAAGCACAGCCAGTGGCACTTTTGGAAGATAAATGTCTTGTACCAGCATTGGCAGTGGCATTTAAATAGCTGAAGGAGAGGTACACCCAGTCTCACAGGTAGGCGTTCTCTGATAACAGTTTTATCAGCTTTCTGGAATGGAGAGACACTGTAGCCTCCTTGTTCTAGAAATCTTGCTGACTGCAGATATGAGACTTATTATAGACACAAGAATTATTTTAGATTTATTGTCAAGGTTGCTTCTTCGTACAAGATGATTTGTGCTTCCTAAAATGCAGACTGACGTTATCCTGGGGGTTTTTTTGTGACTTTGGACATTAACTCCCCAGGAACATTCTCAAAAATTGCCGTGGGTTACATGAGGATTTGGGCTGAGCTGCAGTAAATCAGACTCCCCAAGCTGCTGTTTGAGGATGTCACTTGTTCCTTCAAGTATTATCAGATGTGTTTGTGGCCTGGGATGATGTTTGTTGTGCACTGGCTCGTGGGAAGGGATGGGATGGGATGTTTTCCTGCAAGGTGGATGCAGCTGTGTGAGCTCCCAGCCTGCAGCAAAGCCCAGCTGACAATGGCACGACCCCACTCTTATTTTATTCTGAGATTGAGCACCTTGCCTGCCTCTTGGCAGCTGGAGCTGGCAAGCCAGGAGCAGAGAGTTTGACCTTGCTTTGCAATTGCAGTGACGGCCTACATGCAGTTTGTGGAGGACTACTCAGAGCCACAGCCGTCCATGTTCTACCAGACCCCTCAGAACGAGCACATCTACCAGAAGAAGAACAAGTACCTCAGGGAAGTCTATGGGATCAACGACTCCTTTATCAGCTTAGACCCCGCTCAAGACCTGGCGCCTCCTCCTGCTCTCCCACCGAAACAGAGACAGCTGGTGAGTGACACCTGTGGTGCCCCGGGCAGGGACACCAGATTCCCAGGAACAGCTCTGCTCTTCCTGCTCCTGGATCTGGCAGGCTGCTGTGGTGGTGGGAGGATGTCTCACCGGTGTTGCCACGTCGCGCTCCTTGTCAGCTCGTTAACGTGTTTTTAGGCGTTTTTGCATCGTGTACTTTTTGCTCCTTTTCTAACCCCACGTTCAGACCGTTCCCCATAAGCTCTGAAAGTCCTAAAATGCCCTAAAAATGAAACATTAGTCTTCCACGTGGCAGGGCTGAATCTGTGCCAGACTGCAGGCTTGTGTAACGACAACTGCTTTGAAGATTTTGACACGCTGAGCAGCGTGATTTTCGAGAGATTGCTGCACTGTTGTTCCCAGTGCTGTTTTGAAACCGTTGTCAAAGATGCCACTAATAACAACTATTTAAACATAAGAGCTGCTTTTATGGCTCATCTTTGCCAGAGCCACAGAGCTCTGGTGTAGCCATTACTCAACTCGAGCATGTTTTCTTGGCATTAGTCCCGTCATGTGATTCAGGACTTTACCTGTTTCTCAGTGTTCTGCTGGCCCCCCACACTGCCAGCACAGAAAGGCACATCTGCATGTGTGTGGGTGGTGGGTTTAACAGCACAGAAAGTGCCATTTTCCACGTGGGGGGTGAAATCCTGGCCTCAGTGATGGCAGCAGCAGTTTTGTTTCCGACCTCAGTGGAGCCAGGATTTTGTCCCGTTTCTTTTCAAGGGTTTTCCTTTCTTCTCTCTCTTTTTCTTTTTTTTTTAACAACTCCAACTTATTTCGTTCATATTAATGATCTGATTTGCTCTATTTAACAAAAATAAATTCTTTTGTGCTGATGTAGCTCACTTAAATTGGCCGTGGCATTAAAAAAATGGGAGGAAAGGTGGGAACAGAGCCATGGTGTTACCATCACAAGGGCGACTGTTGCAATATTTCTTCATGTTATCTGTGCTAAGGTTTGACTGTCCTGGCATGTTACTTATTAATTAAATGGGAAAAGCAACCCAAGAACTCTAATTTTGAGATTTGCATAACTCCATTCCTGTGATACAGGTAGGAGTCCTAAAATGATAAAGTAACGTTTCTGGCTAAGCTGAACTGAATATTGTGTATAATTAATCCTTTGTGGGGACGAGACCTTAAACACTGGTGTCCCAACTGCTTTTCAGGGACACTAAAGAGTCTACAGGACTCCTCTCTGGAGGGTCAGGCAGATCCCCAGAGTCTGTGGTCCCCATCAGTGTGACTCTTGCACTGTCACTTGTACTCTATGGATCGCTTCCAGTGGTGACTTGGGCTGCACGGTCACGAGCGAGGGTGTGTGAAGCACAGATTGACTGCAGCCATTGTGCAGAGGGGAAATCCTGCTCCTGTTCTGAATTTGTCAGCTGAAGCAAAGCATTTCTTTGCTGCCCTTTAATCATTATCCGGGCAACCAAGATGTCACTGCTTTGCCTGCTGGCCATTCTTGTCTTTTTGCAAGCTGATACCATCAAGGTGTTGCTTGCAGTTCTCCTGAAGCAAAGGTTTCTTCAAGTGCAGCCTCCTACCCTTCATCTCTCTGTTGGGAAAGAGGTGCAAGCAGATGATGGCTTTTTCAACAACCACTGTAAAAGCCACCAGACTCTTGTTCCTCTGCTCCTGCTGCCCCGAGAGTTTCTGAAATAGCAAATCAAATGGGCATCAGCTGCTCCAACAGTAGCAGGTTTTGCTGGATGGACTCCTCTATAAAATGGTAATGAGGAAGTCCTTTTTTGTGAGCTTTGGGTCTTATTTGTGAAATGTACTTCATATTCAACAAGTCAGAGCTGAGAAAGCCTGGATATACCGTAGCCTCCCCTCGGACTCCTTGCTGGAGTGCAGTTCAAGAGAAATTCCTTAATAGGATTTGTCACTTACAGTGTAATATCTGCCTCTTGTGCAAATGATACATAATTTTGGATTGAAGTGAGAAATGGCAGGGTGTTGCTGTCACCCAGTGTCCCAGCAGTACCAGTGAGGGCCCAGAGCTCACACTGGGGAGGCCAAGTTCCCAGCCTGCAGGTTGCCACAAAAATTAGCAATGTGCAAGAATCAGCTGCTTAGCAGCCAGAAGCAAGAGCCAGTTCCTCCTTTGGGCATCTGCCCCCCACTCGAGGGGGAGAAAAGGGCAGTGAGGAACAGCCTCTGCCCCCAGCAGATGTCCACGGGTGAGCTGGAAGGGGGAGGCGGGAGTTTATTTTTAAGGGATTTGTGAAACAAAGAAGATTTGAACTGCGATTTTTGCCGTGCCCCTTGAGCTCAAGAAAGGCATATTGGTGTGTCTGGCTCTGATGAACTGTATGAATAGCTGTTTGTTTAGCCAGCCATTATATGCATTGTTTTACGGTTAGCGTTTCTTACCCTTTATTCATCGCCTTTTCTGTGCTCTCTTTCTCTGTGTCTTGTGTCTCTCGCTTTTTTTTCTCCCCCAACTCCTCAGCAGGCCTCCTATGCTGCCTCTTCTTTCTCTTCTGTCTCCTACTGTGTCCAGCAAACTAAAGTGCCCTTCACCCCCGAGGACTCCGGTGCCACTCAGGGCCTCACTATGTCAGTCTCTAACTCCTTTCTCAGCCGGCACAGCTCCTTTCCTGTGCACTCGGTGAGTTCCCTCCGCTCTGTGACACGTGTGTGTTTTCTTACTGCTGATAACACTGGTGTGCAGGCTCAGGGCTTACCCTCCCTTCTTTTGAAGGGGCTTTTGAACTCGCGTAGTCACCAGCCAGGTGGGGAAAACGTTGTGTGAATCTCACTGGGTGAAGCCCAGGGGAGGTGCGGCTTTCCTTGCTTTATATACGTGGCCACGTTGACATTTGTGGTGGGGCACTGAGGAAGGAGAGCTGACCCTGTGCCCAGACACACTCTGGTGACCTACATGCTCCCCAGGCTGCACGTTGGAGCTGCAGAGTCTTTTTTGTTCCACTGCATAATTCCAGCCATGTGGATGAGTTGATTAAAGGCTGCCGTGTGGGCCTGGCCTTTGGAGAAATAACAAGATACCATCCCCAAAATACAAGGATTTAGTCAAACATATGGAACAGTGGCTGCAGCTCCTTAATTTTTACTTTTTTTCCCCAAAAATGGCCTCTGTCAGATTTTTCAGCACATATTTGCCTGTTTTTCTTCCCTTCACGTCTCTGCGGTCCCAAACAAGATCAGTTTGCTTGTGTGATGAGGTGATGGATGAGCAGGATTTTCTCTCCTACAGCACTTGTGAGCAGCCTGAAGAAAGATCAGCAGGAAGAACTGGGAATGATTTAAATAAAAATAAGAATAGTGTTAGAGCACTGCTTAAATCTGTGATCAGCTGCTTAAATTAAGTGGTTGTAATAACAAAGTGTTAATATAAGGAAATTAAACCAAACCATGGGATTCCTCCCGCTCAGTAGTGTGGGGCTCATTTGCATGTAAAACTACATGGTTATGCTCTGATTGCCATGTGATGACAACTGAGAATAGACTATTTTTTAACAGTGACCTGGATGTTTAGTAAATTGGCCTTCTTCTGGAGAAGAAATTATCAGACAAGACTTGAGAAAATTCGGAGGTGTTCAATTAGTTTAATATTGAATGTTTGAAAACAGTATCCTCCCACTGTGCCACTGTTATCTTCCCATTTCAACGCTTACTCATTCTTTAAAAATTAGTGATAATCGCTGGTCCGAAGAAGAAGAAAGTATTCAAGTGCTTTACAAGTGCTTCACAAGCCATGAATTAAAGCTTTTGGCTCCACTTGTAGGGAGAGCAATATCATAGCTTTGCTGCACAGATGAAAAGGCTGAGGTGTGGAAAGGTTAGTGCTTGCATACGTTTGTGATAAACAGTTTTAAAATTTGAAGTGAAAGTCCTGAATTTTACAGCTCTCTTATTTGATAGTTGTCCTTGCAAGCAGAACGTGGAACTGTAAGACTGGGTAAAAGCACTTGACTATTTTTGTTTTAATCGACAGGCTATAAATATGATTCTATAATGTTCTAAAAATATATAGGCTCTTTGATTTAAAAAAAGCTTTCTTTTTGGATTAAATGATTACTACCTACTAAATTGTTCTGACCTGTTCTCACCTTACTTTGGACTGCATTATTGTGAATGTATTATTTTCTGAGATGTTAAAACTTCACTAAAAAATCCTTGCTCGTTTTTGCAAGGATTTGGTGAGGGGAAAATGAATGGCTGGAGCATGAGGAACAGTGAGAACAATGAGACAGTGCACTGTCAAATGCACAAAGGAAATAAGCTGAATTAAAAATGGTGATTTTTCCATTAGTGCCTTTAAATTAGGATAATCTCATAGTTGCTCGTGTCTCTAGCTGGTCTATTTTTTCCACAGGCAAAATGAGATTTTCACTATGACAGTGTCTCTTTGAGCTGCAAAATACCAATGTCCTTACATGCATCATAGCTGACCCATGTAATACCATAACCATGTCTTATCCCATTTCCCCCATCCCTAATGAGACAAGAGATGGGAAACAGCTGTGAAGGTTTGGATCCTTCCCAGGGTGACACCCTCCTTGAGCACTGAGAAGGACCAGGGCCCCTCTTTCAATCTGCTCCCGGCATTGACTGGAAGGACTGGGTGTTTTCACTCCAGGGATGCCACGAGCTGCACCAGTAACCCTTAACACGTGTTGTTCTGCTCCTCATATTTTCATGTCTTCGTTTTTCCTCTCTCCCTAGAAAAAAGCCACTCGAGTGAGTGCTGTGGTGAACAACAAACCTGGTAAAAATAAGCATTACCTTCCCTCCAGCCCCCAGCAAGGGAGTCAGTGCTAGGGAGAGCAAACCTCCCAGACACAGCCAGCTGAGGGGTTGGCCTCTTGTGCACCCAGATATCAGTGGTGACTATCAGATTTTTGAAATTATAGATCTCCTACGTATGAATCGTTATCCTTCCTATACAGGAAGCAAAAACCCCCTTGGATCAATACCAGGAAGTCCAAACTGATATGGTTGTCCATTGACCCAGGACAAGCAATGCCCTGCAGCTTTGTCAAGCGCAGCCAATTTTCACAAAGTGCCCTGTGCTTTTTTCCTTCCCTGGAGACTGGCCTGGGATGGACAGCAGGAGTCAATCCTGGAGGGAAGAGCTGGCCCTGTACCCATCTGTTCGTGTGCTGGCAGCAGAAAAGCCGAGCCTGCACCACATTCAGTGTGTTGTCCTGTTAGCTCTGTGCTCAGGTGAAGGATTAGTGCCTTACTGCTGATTTACAGGGCTTAAAAAGACTGTTTTCAAACAGTGTTTTGAAGCAAAAAACAAACAAAAAAGAGGTGAAGTTGTTCAGAGCATCTTTTAATTTTTAATTCGTGAATTTCTTTTCTAGAGCCCTGACTCCTTTCCTTCCCCTCAGCTCTTAAGAGGCTGCTGCAGCCCAGCTGCCACCCCTGCCCTGTGAGCCCACTAATCGTGCTTTTCCCTCCTTTGCAGGAAATTGTGTCAGAGGTAATAGCTTTTACTGGATAGAGGCAGATCTTGAGCAACTGGATCAAACCTCATAGGTTTGGCAAGTCGAGCTGTTTTTTAACCGAGTCTGATTCGTGTCTGGCCTCTGTGCCAGCAAGGGCTGTGTTGGTAGTGTGGGCTGATGTCTTAAGGAGCTGCAGCATCCTATTCCCCATCCTATGCACAGCTAAGCTGTTAAACCCCACACTGGGGGACGACTGGATGGTACTGTCAAGGATCATTCTGGGGACTCCCATCTCTTCTGAAAGCACTGAACAGTGGGAAGGGAGGTGTGCAATAATCACCTTCCTTGGTGGCTCTTGGCAGGGGTCTTTTTCTAGCTGATCACCTCCTTCCCTTCTTCTTGAGAACACAGAGCTACTGCCCCTTGGTTTAGTAGCTCCTTGTGCTGGTTGACTGGAAATGGGTGGGCAGGTATCCGAGTGGCAGGAATCAGACCTTGGAATCTTGATACTTCCTGGCAGCTAGAGAGCTCTGCACTGATAGAGGAAACCATCCAGCAACAAGCTCCACTGCTGCCTATCCACACGTTTTCCACCAAAGGCTGCAGAAAGTCTTGTGGAAGCTTTTCCTCACTGAAACAAGGAACAGTTGTATCTCAGAGGCACGTACGTGCCATCAGTGGAAATTTGGCCGCATCCTCCACTGGGGAGAAATAACTCTCCTCTCTCAAAATGTTTTTTTCTTATGTTTTCTTTTTAATTAAGAAACATTTCCAGTAATTTTCCAGAAACCAATTGGCTGTCAGATTCCAGCAGAAGGCGCAAGTGATTTCCTTATGAAAACTCCAGTTCGGCGCTTCTGTTCTCACTTGTTCCCACCATTCTTGAACAAATTGAGCAAGCTCACAGAACATTCACAGCAACTGTTTTTCTTTCTTGTGTGTGTGCTAACGTGTGTTCAGGAAAAGGAGGGGGTCAGATAAGTGGTTAAAGGCGTGCACAATGCAGACATGTGCTTCCCATGTTTTCCCTGCCTTGTTCCCGCTCCTGTAGCACAATTCCAGTCTGCAGCACACGCCAGGCTCTGGCCCTCAGCAGAGACTGAGCTGTTTTCATTCATGAGGTGGAAGCCTCAATCAAACCAGGGACTGGGAAATCATAGCGTTTGTTCATTTCTGTCCTTAGGTTTTGGCTCCTTAACTTGGAGCAGATAGAGGGGGCATGAAAAGATTTGCATCCATTTAACCAGCTGCTGAGTCCTAGGTATTGTTTTGCCTTTCCTGTTTAGCATTCCTTCTGTGTTTGTGTTCATTTCCACTGCCCACGGCAGGCCTGGACACTGGTATTAATAGTGCTGGTATTAATAGAGCCTGCTGGCATCACTGAATCCTGCTTCTGAAAACCACTTCCTCTGGTGGTTTTGTACATTTTCCTTGTAGTTGGAGCACTACAGGTCTCTGTGTAGGTTTATCTAAACAGTCCCTTGTTGAGCTCATAGGCCACACATACCATGGTTCTTGTGTGACTGGCTTTTTAGGAGCCTTGCCTTTCTCTCCAGGCTCTGCCTTTTCAAGGTCTGCTTCCTAAACATGGTGGTATTGTCTACAAGCTAAAGAAGGGTTGACACTGTTGGTGCAATCAGATTGAATTCTTCTGATAGTTTCAAAGGAGAGATGCACGACAGCGTGGTTAATAAATCTTACCAATGTTTTCTTCCCCCACTGCCCCCTTATTTGTTTTTTTCCAAAGATGTAGGGGAATCCCTCCCCCTCAAGGGGAAGTTTGGATTTTGTGTTTTCTTGTGCAGAAGCCAGGAGACACAGCAAACACCATCCATCCATCTGCTGGGCAAACCATTGCTTTAAACCAGGGGAGGTCACTTGTGCAGCTGGGTCAGAGGCTTTGCTGAGAAACATTCCAGCCTGAGGAGTTGCTGCCTTTCCTGTGGCAGTGCTTGAAACCATTCTGTTGGCAGCTTGTGTTTCCAGCCATTCATTGCAGGAGCATTTCCTTCCTCATTAGCAAAAGTACCTGGAAGCACAGCATTGTGTCATGAGATAGGAAGTCTTTTCCAATAGTTGTCTGTGCAATTATATTCTTAGGGTGTAACGACTTTGTGCAACGCCCAGTATTTTGTGAACATAGTTCTGTACTGTTAGAATTTGGGCATCCAGTTCTGGCACACTGCCACGTCATTCTCTTAATAGCATTAGCAGAGGAGATCTAAAAGATTGATCTTTTCCTCTGATAGCTTCATGTTTTGGAAGTCTGAAGCTTTACCTGATCTGGGAGTGTCTGGCAGGATGGCAGATTAATTTGGCAGAAATCCACAGGGTAACTGAGAAGGCTGTGCTTAAAAGGTAAAGACTGTGTCTGCTGATACTGCAGATGCTCTGTCAGCCATATAATTGAATTCAGCTTTGGATTTAGGATGGAGACTGTTGTAACTTGCAGCCAGTGACTCCCTGCATATATATCCCTGTCTCCCTGTTAGCTGTGGTCAGCCATGCCTAGTGAGCGTGGAGAAGCATCACTCCAGAAATAAGTTTCCTATTAGAGTGCTTATCTCCTGCCATCTAATCCAAATAAACAGCCAGAATGTCGTTGACCTTTGGGACATCCTGTAACACGGCTGCTAATGATGGAAAGCTGTTCTAAAATATTCACTGTTGCAAAAAAAAAAAAAATCAAAGGCAGCAAATTGAAAAGGTTGAAAGACGCCGTCTCTGGGAGACCTCTGTGTGTCACGGTGTGTGGTAAATGTTCAGGGCAGGGCACGTTTGCTTCCTGCTGTTCCCAGGAGACAAGACTGCTCCCAGCTCAAAGCACGCTTTGTGGAAGTACTTCCCAAGTGGCAGACAAGTCTTTTTTAAAACCACTGTACTGGTGAGAGCAGAGGGAGCTCTCTCTCTTCTCCCTGTCTTGGCTGTTTGCTCTCGTAGGTCGGGATCACTCGTGCTCGGAGAACATCTCCTGGTCCTGTGGTGGGAGCTGGAAACATGGCCAGAGTTTGGATAGAGGAAAGCATCCTTTCCCGAAAATTCCTGTTGCACCCTTTTTTCTAGCTTTCCCAGAGGTTATTTTGAAGTACTTCACTTAAAGCAAAGCCACGGAGTAGGAGGTTGTGTCCGTACAGCCATAACTGAGGCCTGACTGACCCTGCAGGAAGGAAACCTCTAAGAAGCAGATTAAAAGAAGCACTGATTTGTTTCCAAGATAAACTGTTGCCTCTTATGGGAAGGACTAGAGGATTACTTGTTTCCTTGTGACAGTTGTGCTGAATGAACTGTCCCATCTCTCAGAGGATGGCAGGGCTTCCAAGAGATGTACAACACCCAAATCCCATGGAAGCCATTGCTGCAATTCCTGCTGCAGCTGCTGGCTGGGCTGGGTCAGACTTGGGAGCAGAGGAATGGGTGCCATATGGACATCATCTTCACTGCAGGGTGGTTTTTTTCCCCCCCCCTTTGAAAGTATGCTTCAGTCTTGGCTCTTGTCCCAGCACGGCTGCATAACTGGAATTCCAGAGCTTCTTGCAGGCTCCGGAGGAAGGAGGGGGCTCCCTGGCTCCCTCTCTACAAGATGCAACTTTACAACAAGATTGGAAGTCGAGAGCAGTCTGACTAATTAATGCCAGTGCTCCAAAGGCTTCTCTGCACTGTTCCCTTTGTTAACAGCATGCTGAGAGCCTGTCTGCATCCTTAAATGATTGTTCACGGATCACATAATGAAGATTAATGCGTTTTCCTGGGCACCTGAGCCTTAAACTGGGATTTTCAACATATCTCATGCCAAGATGTTGTTCTGAAGGCTGTATTGATGAGGCTGAGGAGAGGTGAATCATATAGTCATTGTCAATACTTACATATCTGCGTTTAAACTTGTAAAAGTTATGCAGTGTTATGTTATGTTTAGGTCTCAATTGCCTTTGAATTGGGATTAATGTCTCTGAAACTCCTCAAGGCAGAAGCTGTGCAAATATTAAGCAGTAACTCATCTCCCTGAGCTGCTGGCCCAGCCTGAAGGGCACCAGAGTCTGCCCTGAGCTAACCCTGCCAGCACCTCACGCAGGGCTCTGCCTGTCCCAGGGTGACTTGGCTGAGGACACTCATTTCCTTTCACTCTTGCCCTGCGTGAGCTCCGCTGCTGCTTTGAAAAAGCCCGGCTTTTCCTTTGGGTTCAGCAGGTCAGGGACAAAACCCCTTGGAACTCCTCTGTGGTAGATGTCCATCAACCACAAAGTGAGGGACAGCGTGTGCCGCCTGCCCTGTGTGGGTGCAGGAAGCCCAGCTCTAGGGGAGCTGGCACGCAGCTTCTGTTGGAGCTAATTATTTCCCTTGCAGCAGCAGAGGGGCCTGTTATCAGGACAGCAGTTTTTTGAGCGCCTTCCTGAGCCATTGCAACGGTGGTTTGGGGTCTAGGCTGGGACTTGGGGTGATAGTTGGCCTATCAGCGCCGGTGAGATCATGGAACGCCAGGCAGGCATAATGAATCTGCTGAGCCGAGGTGATGTCATGAGCCTGGCGTCTTACGAGGGATTTAGTGGTTTGTGCCATGCAAGTGAAAATGAATAAATGTAGAGCATTTATCCAGGCAGAAAGTAAATACAGAGATTAGACTTGTCATTGTTACTGAGGCAGCTCCAAAAGCTGACAGTGTCCCTGGAGCCAGCGCTGCTCATCCGGAAAGAAATGGGCAGGAAGAGAGAGGAGCCTGTCCTAGAGCCAGTCTCCTTTTAGCCACAGGCATGTGGTGGGGATTTGCATTTTAATTATTTTTCAGTAGTCTTTTAAGCTCTCTTTCCAGAGCATCCCCCTCCCCTCCTCTGTATTATGGCCTGCAATTTGTTTTGGGCCCTGAGAATACACCCAGAGCACTGCTGGACTCCAGGTACCACAGAGGGCAGCCACTCAAGGATTAAGGTGGTTGAAGGTAAAGTCTAACTATTGACCTTTACATTTCCTTTCCTTTGTAGTGGAAAAGCTTTGGTCTGGCCTGAGGCTGTTCTCAGTTTAGATTTTTGAGCTCAAGTCTTTCCTAGGTAGAAACAAAAATGCCACTGCTGAGCTGGATACTGCTGCAGCTCAGTGATGGACTGAGCTTTGCTTAACCAGCTCAGCTCTCCTGGGAAAATGTAGCCTGAATTCTCTGATTCCTGCCTTGTTTCCTCTTCTTTTTACATCACAGTGGTGTCACTTTTCAGCCTGGTTGGAGCAAGTTGTGTCTGTGCTTCTTGAGAGCTCTGTACTGCACCGTCCTCCTGCAGCAGATCACTCAACCAAGCAGCGCCACAGCTTTGTTTCAGTGTGGGTTTTTTTGGATGATGTGGCTTTTCCTTCAGTCCACTTGACTTTGACACGGATCTCACTACTGGTTGAGCTCTGCAGGTTTTAAAATAAACTCCTCTCCAGCAGATTTAGCATTATTGCCTTTTTTTTTTTCTTTTTTTTTTTAATGGTTGTCAGCTTTGTTTTGGACTTACCCTGATGGCAAATCTTACTAGCACCAGATGTTAAAAGACAGAGGGTTGCTCTTGTTTTTCTTGGCACAATATATTCCCACTGCACCCTGTTTAATATTATCTGAACAGTAATCTGATGATTAGGAGAGATAGTGGAATAAAGCTTTACGCAGATGATCTCTTTTCATCTCTTCAGCTGAGTCTTCGAGGCGCTGCATTAAAGGATTGGTTTGATAAGGAATTCATCGCTCCTGAGGGCAATTATCATTTTTGCTCCCTGTTTTTCTCGAATGGGAAGGAGTAGCAGCATAATCTCCCTGTATCCTTCAGTGTAACTTTGAAGGCAGTATCCAGCCACTCCTCCCTGGGAGCTGTGTGTTCTGGAACAGACTTAACACAGTAGCTGCTAAATTACAGGGCTGGAGCAAACAGCATCTTAAATTTGGATCCTGCGGAAAATCCCAGAAAAGCAATAAGCACTTGGAGTACTTTTGTCTATCCAGATACTTCCAGCATGCTCAGAGTCCTGGTTTCTGTATGCCTTTGCATCCTTGCCTCCACTGGGGTGATTTTCAGGGTCGCTGCGTTAGTACTGAGATATCCCGGCTTTTCCCTGCTTAGCTAAGGCTGGATACCTGCAGGTCACACCTCGCTGCCCCCTTTCCCTCTGCGAGTTGAGCAGCTGAGCTGCTGTTTGTGCCAGAACATGCCTCTCCTGAAAAAAACTGGCTGATGTATCCCAGGTAGCAATTCCTGCTCTGGTGTGTGGATGGTAAAATAGTGCTGCCCGTGTTAGAAATGCCTGGTGCTGTCACTGCTACGCTGCTGCCGATCTAATTACTTTTTCTCTTGTCTGTCTCTTTCCTTTCCCCTTCTTCCTTGTTTTTGTCTTGTACGTCTCTGCATCCTGCAGTACAAATCCGTGTTTAGGTCCTACTCCCAGGACTTTGTGCCTCACAACCAAGTCTCCATACCTCCTTTCCTGTCTTCTACCTCCTCCTCCTGCTCCACCCCGCCTTTTCCGCCCGTCCATCCATCTCCGAGCCCCGACCTGGCGGTGCCCGCCGCAGCCAGCCAGTCACCCAGCACTGTGGATGTGCCAAACTCCTCTTCTCAGGAGAGCAGCTTTAACGGGAATGCTCCTGTCTGCCTTCCTTCTGAAACCTCTTTCACTGATTCTCTCCAGACGCCTTCGGTGAGACCATCCAAAGAGATAATAATGCACCTTAACACAAGGCTGCCTTTATTTGTTTGTTATTTTGTTTCTGTTTTTTTTTAAGAAAATGCCTCTTGTGTTAATACATGCTAGTCTGGTTTCCAAATGCATGTGTGAATTGCAGAGTAGAAATTTCATATAAAAATGGTGGCTAGAAGAAATGAACAACCTCAGTAAGTCTGAGAAAGCATTAACACTGAGTAGGAAACACAAAATGTCAAATGCTGGTGAGGGGGAGAGGAGAAGTTGCTGCAGCTTCCTGCAATTGTAATACAAAGCTGAGGGAGGTAAAGGAGTGTTTTGTGAGGTTGATAGTTTCTAAACATGGGCTCCTTACAACAGTTTCCATCCTGCAGTTGCTGCCCTGCTCCCTCCTAGGTCTCTGGAGAGCCCCAGGAGCAGTGGGTGCAGGCCAGCTCTGTCTCTCCTGTGCATAAACCTGTTGTTCTCTCCAGGTTCCTGCTTTTCCCAGTTCCCAGCACCTCCAGCTGTGCCCTTGGTGGCAGTTATCACATGTTGGTGAAGTTAGGCTAATGCTGTTCCCACACTGCTAGTTTGAGGTCCCAGGTCAGTTTGCAGATCACTGAGCAGGTTTGTCCATTACAGCTACTATTTTAAAAACCTCATTTTAGAGACAATTCCTCTTTCCTCTCCTGTGAAGCAGAGAGGTGATGGGATTAGAGCTGTCAGCACAGGGCCTGCTAGTGCTGCCTCTTCACCAGGTTCAGAAGAGGGTCACTGATTACAGAGTAAATGTGCAGGTTTTCACGCTTCAGACGTGGCCTTGCTTTGCATCTTCCTCGCGCTGGGTCCTTGTTATTCCCCAGAAGCGCTCGGGTTTGGTTTATTCTGCCCTGATGGGTCTCGTAGAGTAGTTTGGGGGATGCCTTTGATGCCCTCAGGGCTTCAGGGCTGTTCTGCATTCAGCGACAGGACTGAGGTGTGGGTAGGACAGGCACTCGTGTCCAGCTCTGAAAGCTCCGCTTCCAGCACCCTGCAATCCGCTCGTGCCCGTTGCACCTTGGCAGTCTCACATGGAGTCCTCAGCTCTTCCAAAGCAGTGCCTGCTGCTGTCCTCCTGCAGCCCAGGGCCCTTGGGATAGTCCTCAAGAACCAGAAAACAATGACCCCTGAGATGGTACAGATTCAGTGGCCAATACTGGAGACAGGGAACGGCTCCCAGTTATGTGACAGCAGCTGCCAAGGGCAGTTCTGCTCCCGGCCCATGGGCACGTTCTCTCACTGACATTCGCTGCTGGTGGGGGACACCATCACGTATTTCCTTTCATCCTGTCTCCCTCAGAGTGAAAACGCCAGTGAGGAGGCTGGTGAGGGTGAATATGTCAATCTGTATTCCTCTGGCCAGAGCAACGGGGAACTCCCTCGCTCTGAAGGAGTAAGTAACCCGGAGAGGGCCGGACACCGGGAAGGGGCTGCCTGGTGCATGCTGAGCTCACACCGGGGCTGACGCGCTTGGGCACCGGCCTCTTCTGCACACCCTGGAGCCCCCATGTCAGTCCTGCTGCCCTAGCTCCCTTGCTGGTCCATCCCTCTGCTTGCCCACTCCTGGCTGCAGGCTTGGGTGGAGAGCAGGAGATGCTTCCAGCAAGCCCTGGCAGGAGGCAGGGACGGCTCTTCCTGCCGCGCTCTTTCCTTTGCGCTTCGCTGTCTGTTTGGAGCTGCTTGCCTGAGGTTCCCTTCCAGAAAGCTGCACTCTCACCAGTGCCATCCTGGGGCCATGTCTCTTCTTGTAACTGCTTTGCCTTCCCTGTTTTAATACAGAAAGTCTCGTGCTCTAAAAATTTTTCTTCTCTTCACTGTTTGGATACAGAAGTAAGTGGTTGATTTAGCATTGTACTCACATGCTTTTTCTTCCCTTCCTCAAGCCTCGTATCTTAGATATTTCCTAGAGGAACCAGGGCGTTTTCCATTCCAGGGAGGTCCCATCTTCCTGTTGGGTCACAGGAAACAGCAGCAGAGATCCATGGTGATCCTTTTGCCTGCCCTCATCTTGGAAGGCACAGCTCCTCTACAGGATGTCTCCGAGACATTTATCCGTGCTGGTGTCAAATATGCCAAGAGATAGCGCTCCCATCACTTCCCTTCAGGAGACACATCTGGGCAGGCCCATCCTCTTGGGCAGCTGCGAGCGGGTTCTCGACTTTGAAGCAAAGGGCTTCACAGATATAGTCTGGAAAAATCCTTCAGACACCACGAAACCTAAGCTCACCAGAGGGTTTCCCATGCTGAGTGAATTGTGTGTAGGTGGTTTCAGTCCTGTCTGTTCAGCGGGTTGAATTTCCAAGTTTCACTCTGCATGATGTTAAATAATTCTCAATTCCCATTAATATTCCCATTTGCCGTTCATGGCTATTTGTCTCCTTAATAAATGGCCCATTTAAAATGCTCCATCTTTGCTCTGAGCTCTCTACCTGCTGTTCCAAGCCGCGGGTTCAGCTGGTTCTGCTTTTTTGCATTAGCCTCATTTCCACAGCCCTGGGTTGTGGAGTGGAAACGTTGCATCACTGCGAAACCTCTTCCGATGGGAGAGAAGGGAGGTAGGAACCAGTGAGCATCCACCCCCTAAGGCAGGGGGGCTCTGATCAGCAGGGGAACTGAAACTGGAGAGCTTAGAGCTGGCTCTGTCCATTTGGATTAAAGCAGGAGGCAAGTGTACTCCAACAGTAAGGGCTGGAGGAAAAATAAAAGGTCACGAGAGGGTTAAAATCCAAGACAACAGATGACTTGTGTTGTAACTTTCAGCATCATTTCACAATGTTAAAAGCAAACAGTACTAATTACACTAGTCTCCAGAGATGGTCCCAAATTTCCTGTCTGATTAACTTCTGTGTTTTCCTGGCATTTGGCATTAACTTGCATCAGTCTTTAACCACTGTGTAGGAATTTACAGTAAAGGGCCATTTAGAAGCAGGCAAACTGTAAGTGCAAGGCTCACTGGACTCAAGGACCCTGTGTAATAATGAAAAACTTCTTTCTCTTGGCAGGAATCTCCCTCTGTCAAAGACTCCAAAGACTCCTCTGTGAACAGCAGTGCCATGGGGAAGGAGGGCAAAGATGGTGCTGACAGGTGAGCCTGCCTCCCTTGGTGCTTCTGCTTTCAGCCTCGAAGGGTACAGAGCCCCCCCAACATCCCCTCTGCCAAGCCATCCTGGGGCTGCCTGTTCTGCCCTCAGCCTCCTCCATGTTCTCTAAACTTTTAAGCCCACATTTTTGGACAGGCAGTGAGTGGTGGGATCCTGCTGGACAAGGAGGATCCTGGCAGGATTGCCCTGGGGGTTAATGCAGCCCATGTTAGCCATCCTCAATCCATCTCTTTGGCAGGGCTGTCATTGACACTGGCTGCTCCCTCCTGCTTCCAGGAAAATGTGTGAAAAGAGTCTGTATGGCTGTTTGGAATAGTCTTCCAGAGGGGAATTTCTTCCTAACCCTGCTAGTTAGAGGCTGGCTGAGGCCCCGAAACAGGAGGCTTTATATCCCTTCTAAGGCTCTTAGCTATCATTTGCCTATGTAAATGAAGAGGTGCAAGCTGTAACAGATGGGCTTCAGGAGGAGTGGAGTGAGTGCTTCCCTGCTGCTCGAGATTGCTCTGCAATTGCATTTCTAAAGCAAAAATAGAGAACAGAGATGATTTGTGTGTGACAGTCAACTCCCCTCCCCCATTTCCCTGCAGTTGGTTTGAGGGTTTTAATCCCTGCAGTGAAGGAGACGACACAAGAGCGTTCTGCAAAGCTCACTATCAGCTCAGAGTACTGACTGGTTCATGGGATTTTGGCCTGTGCCTAGGGAAAGCTAGGAAGAACATAAGTATATTATAGTATTTTTTTAGGAGTAAAGGCACAAGAAGGTAGGAATAGAGTTGGGGATGTACACCAGAAAAATGGTCAGAGCTTTTTGCTCTGCTTTCCTGCAAAACCAGAGCCTGTCATCTCCCCTTGTCTCAGCACAGTGGGTCATGAACTGACTAAGATATGTATGTGTAGAGTGGGCTCAGTCTCTATACATTTGAGGAAGGGCTTAGATTTGTGTGCACTAAAAATTTGGTGGATTAAGGAGACATGGAAGTGTGTACTTATGCAGGGCATGGTAGAATCCTGCCAGAAATGCAGACAGACAAGTGTTCAGGTCCTAAAGGTTCATCTTCCTCTCTTTCAAGAGATGCACAAAGCAACAGAATTAGAGCCAGACATTTGGGCTTGTTTGCAGAAGGTTTACCTCCAGAGTGTCTGTGTACTTACTGTCATTTAATGAAGGTTATTTCCCTCTTTTTTTCACAGGCAGCCACAGTCACCAGATACTTTGGAATCATCACAGCTGGAGGAAGAGGTAGATGAGCTGTCCCTTATTGACCACAGTGAAATCATGGCTAGATTAACACTGAAGCAAGAGGTAGGCGCATTAGGGGTTTTCTTTTGTACTCTTTGGTTTACACTGTGTTGAAATCTGATTCTCTGTGTGCACAAGCAAGGCATCACCTCTTATTTGATGTTAGAAACTACGTTGCAGCAGAATTGGGATGTGGGTGCAGGCTGTTGTTAAAGTAGGAGATGCTGGTACAGGCAGGGAGCATCAGCAATGAATGAGGCTTTAACAGAAGGTGAGATGTCTCCCTAAAAACCAGCACATTCTTGTGCCCTTTTCCCAGTCTGCCCCTTCCCACCTCTCCATCCTGTGACAGCCTGGAAGGAATCACCTGAGAGCCTGAGCACAAGAAATCCATGTGGGGCTTGATGGTGTTGGCCTTTTGGTCTGACAGCGGGTTCAGCAGGTGAACAAGCAGGACATTTTACATTACTGATGTGGAAAAGCAGCCAAAAAAAGGAACTGTTTTGTGTTTGAGAAATAGCTTTGTGCCTGGCCTGGGGTGGACTCCCAGCCAGCTTTGCTCGCTGTGCTCTTGAGCCACGCTGTCTTTGACATGCAGCTTGAGGGAACACGCAGGCCTTTGAAGCTTTCAGACTGTCAGGGGGCTGGTCTGAAAAAACAGAGAGAATGTATCATTTACTGGCACTTAAGGAGTGTTCTTTGGTCAGCTGAGATGTGCAGCAGAGAGTGAAAAGCTATTACTCATTCTTTAAGTAGTGTTTCATATGAGTCTTGCCAGAGGGTCACCTGAAAAATTCACATCTTAGACATAGCTGCTCCATGGCTGTAATCCGTGGTTTTTTCACTGGTTTGCATATTGAAATGACAATCCTCCTCCTCTTCTGGATTCTTTCCTTTAAAAAACATATAAAAATCAGTGATTTCTGAGCATTTGGGACTAGCAGATCAGTGTCTTAATGTCTTCTTTCTTTCTTTTCTTTATGATCTACATGTTTGAAACAGTATAGAACTGTCACTGCGAGCTCCTTCCTGCAGTGTGGGAACCGCTGGCTGAGCGATGGATCAGTTTTGCACATTTTGAGTTGTGAAATGCAGTAGCTAGAAGAGTGTTTTAGAGAGTGGTAAGGCAGGGGTCAAGCAATTAGCAGGGCTGTTTTCTGCTCCTGGTTACTGGATCGCTTCAGGTGACCTCCGGCCAAATTAGGGAATTAACTTGCTAGGTTTTGATGTTCCAGCAACATGCGAGTTGAATGCGTGACCTCCCACCCCACAGCCACTGTGGTACGTGGCTGTGTGAACTTTAAGACGGTTCACACAATGTTGCTGCTCTGCTAATGGTCTTCTGGGAGCATTTGGGGCATTTGTGTTCATTCTTCTGTGGACAGAAGGTTCAGCTTTCACTGAGCTTCACAGCCCGGCCTTAAGGAGTCAGAGATTCCGGGTAAGGATCAGCCCAGCTCCTCATCTGGGACGCCAAATGCTTTATTCAAATTCCAGGATTAGCCCAGCGCTGAGAACCATGTCCCAGCTTGTGCTGTGAGCGGTGCCAGGAACACTGTGTACGCTGCCAGCTGTTGCTGAGCTTGAACCCCAGCGCTGTTAAACCAGGCCGAAGGGAACCTTGGGCCCTGCCTAACGTGGCTGTGTTCCCCTTGCAGGGGGACGATGGGCCAGATGTCCGTGGTGGATCCGGAGACATCCTGTTAGTGCACGCGACGGAGACTGACAGGAAAGGTAGGTGGATGCAGCAGGGCAGAGCTGAGGGGCACAGCCTGGCACGGCCTTTGGCCGCTGATCTTTTGGTCTTCTGCCTCTGCCTTCTGCTGTGGAGGCAGCTGGGCCGGGGGGAGGGTCTGCAGGGATCCCCTGCACAACCTGGGGGGGTTGTGCTGATCTGTGGTAAAAGGAGGTAAGCTGGATAAGCGCCTGGTGGTTCCATTTAGCAGCAGGGATGGTATTAACTCCTCACAGCCCTTGCCCAGATCTGGAAGGCGAGGCACACCAGTGACAGTGCTCTGTTGGTGTCCCTGTCTGTACCTGCTAAGCCTTCTGGGAATGCAGGAGTGACCAGCCTGTTGTGCGTGGATCCTGTGTTCAGTGGTGCTCCTTGACCTTTGAATGTCAGGGCAGTGGGGATGTAGGAGCTGCTGGAGTGAGTGTGGCATCGAAGCAGGAAAAAAGGGGTGTTGGTTTGGGTCTGGTGCAGCACCTGTGGGCACTGGGCAAGCTGTTCAGGTGCTGGTCTGCTGACACCTCATTTTCAACATACCATGTCACTTCCTAGTCCCACTCTGTACCAAGTGCATCCTGGTAGCCACCCAGGCCAGTTCAGAGAGGGAATCCACAGTACAAGAAAAGGGATGCAGAGGAGGAAAAGGGACGTTAGCAACCCTTGGCTCTAGATCTGTTAAAAACCCGCTTTATCTCTCCAAACCCAGTCACCACCCACATGAAGCTCTCCTATCCAAGACCTGTGGCAAAGACAGCCTTTGCAGTGTTTCCAGAGAGTGATTTGAACCTGCCAAGCACATTTGTGCTGATGGCCTTAACCAGGATTGATCTCCTTACCTCCTGGGATGCAAAGCAAAACACTAACCCGCTGAATCACTCAGCGCTCGTATTTTAGAGGTTTGATAGTCGAAGGGGAAGTATCTTTCATGTACATTTTTAAATGACAGGGGTTTTACTGTAGCATAAGATGTTTGCAATTACTTACCAGCACCATTCAGCTAGCAAGAAAATCCTTCCCCTGACAGCTGTTTCCCAGTTTGCATTGGGCACCGAATCCAGGAAGAAAGGACCAAAGTTAGGAACATACTAGAGAGGAGGAGACAATTGGTTGTGCCAAGAGTAGATATGTATATTAAAGAAAATAGTCTAAATGAGACGGTGGAAATATCCCTTATAAAAATGTTGAAAGTGGAATAGAGAAACTCTGATTTACTCCTGCTGTTCTCTGGAACATCACATTGCAAGAACTTCCCTACTGTTCCTGCTGACAGACAGCTATTTGGTAAGGGGATGTGTTCTTAGACCTCCAGTTCATGAACAGGGGGCTCTGAGGGCGCTGCAGGCAGTGGGGTGAAAGCTGTGGAGAACCTTTCAGGACTGGGGAAAACTAGAGCAGGATTTTTACTGCCCAGTGGTGCAAGCTGGGGATTGCTGGGTGGAGGGAGCTCGGGTTCTCAGTCCCTGAGCTTGGCCTCACAGGCACTGCCAAGCCACGGAGCTGAATGAAGCACAGAGGAATTTGTGCTATGCTAACCCACTGTTTGGGTGACTGAGAGGGTTAATGAATTAAGCTTACAATGAGAAGAATTCAGGGCTTGTAAATCAATCAGCCAAACGGCACGGAGGGGTAGAGTTAAGAGGCTTTCCTTTAAAGATGAATTTCTTGGCAGCTTCAAGTGCCAGAGCAGACCAGCTGTATTACCTCACGTTGCCTTTTGGGCAGATGGGAACCCAGAATAAATGTAACTCCACGCCCTGTTGCATGATGCTTCTTGTCCATCTGAGTTTTCCAAAAGAGCTAAATGGAGTAAGGGATAAAGAGAGACTTGTGGTCTTTAGGAATAAAATCCGTGGTCAGTTAAGTGCTCACAGGCACACACACACTTGCTGTGAGTGCAGGATTACAGCTGGACAAGGCCTGGGGCTCACCCCTGACATGACCACCCAGCTTCTGGCTTTAGAGCTTATGTCTGATTGTCTGTAACCAAAAGGCAGCAGCAGTCTCAGATTTAAGAGCAGGAGGGAGCAGCATTGCCACGAGGTTCCTGCCAAGAAAAACACTGCGGGTAGAGAGGCACAGCTACCCCACTGTGCCCTGCCCCTTCCCACCCTCCACAGCAATGGATGGATGTTACAGCACGTGGGTGTGGGGTGATCCCTGTCCTGGCTTGGAACAAGCTCTGCATGCACAGCCGAGCCTGGGCAGGCCCAGCAGGAGCTTTTTCTGCCCACAGTGCTCCTGGCAGGGGCAGGGTGCCATCCCACTGCACATCCTGCTGCTGATCTATGCTGGGGCTAATGCTCCCACTGGACACTGCTGCCCACGGTGACCAGGCATTGCCCAGGAGAGTTCTACAGTCCTGACCTGAAATCTGCTTTCCCATTTGCAGCTCCTGCTTTTACAAATTCCATCCTCTGTGCCCATGGCAAAGCCCAAAGCCTTTGTGAGTCTGGGCCCTGCAGCACCCCCGTCCTGCAGATGAATTAACACAAGCTGACTTGCCCCACATCAGCATCTGTGTTGTGGCAGGGTCATGGCCATGGCAGCGTCAGTTTTTGCAGTGCAATTTACTCTTCTTTTGGCTGAGAATAATCTTGTATTTGCACTGTCCTGGGATGGATTTCCTGGAATGCAGTAAGGACGGGGGATCTGCAGCACCAGAACATGTGTGTTCCTCATCAGGAGGGCAGAGTGACCGTGTCTCTGCAGGGCTCTGTGCTGCCTGAGAGAGACTGAGGCACAACAGGCAGCCACCTCTCACCATCAGATCTTCCCTTTAAAGTGTCCCTTTAATGGTCTAAACTATGATTTTTCTTCACCCATTACTGATAGTTCCTGTCCAACAAGGAGGTGTTTTCCACTGACCCCCTTTGGTGGTGGAATAAACAAAGCCCTGAGCTCAAATGCTGCAAATGGGAGCCAGGGCCAGGGAAGTGGGGACAGGGCAGTGTCAGTGCTGCTCTTGTGTTACAGGGTCCATCTGCTGGTAAGGACCAAAAGCACAATTCTGGAAAGTCCACTGATGCCAAAATGCATCCATGTCTTCCTCTGTACGACTGGATTCAACCTCACAAGAAACTTGACTTGACTGAGCCTTTCATATCTCTCTCCCTAGATCTGGTGCTGTACTGTGAAGCCTTTCTGACTACATACAGGACATTTATTACCCCTGAAGAGCTCATCAAGAAGCTGCAGTACAGATATCCTTCGCATGAGTGGCAGTTCACTCCCATCAGGAATCAGAGCGGGGCTGTCGTTGTGGAGGGAGCTGATGGCAAGTTGTTTGGTCAGAAGCCTGCTGACAGTGTGGTCAGTGATGTGCTGGCCCTGGAGGCATCCCAGGCAGGAGTTGCTTCACCTCCACATTCTGCAATGGGAATTGCAGCAGGGCAGGTCCAGGCAGGGTGGATAACGGACCAGAGAGTTGCCTCCTGAGGGTCCTGTCAGGGGAGAGGAGCAGTTGAGGTTTTCTGTACATCACTGGGTAATTATCATTTGTTTTGGACATCTTGTTTTCTAGACTGTGGATCAGGGCACCTTCTGCCTTCCAGAGGAGCTGTGGGGATTATGGGCAGGTGTAGTTTAATACTGGAGACGACTAAACCATCAAGGCCTTTTCTCTATCTTACTACAATAAACTCAGCCTTGGAAACACTGGGCTCTTGGCCCCCCAGTTCTGAACTGAGCTTGGAACTGGTAACAAAGCAGGGCCCTGATGTGCAGGGTGAGCATTAGCATTTCTGACAGAGGATGGAGAAGGCTTCTTGAGCACCCTGCCTGCCATTCCTTCCCTTTGGCTCTATTCCCTGCCAGCTGAGCGGGTCAGTGTCTGGGTCTGGGCGGTGTGAAAGCCTCGTGGGCCTTGGTGCTGTGCACCCACGTCAGAGGGAGCCTGACGTCACTGTGTCCTGCTTTGTGGCTCATCACTGCCATCTGCAGCAGAGCCACTGCTCCCCGAGCTCCAGCTGGGATCAGCTCACCAAGGACGCAGTCGGTGACAGCACTGTCTGGGGCAGTCCTGCAGGCCCCTGACTTACTGATAACCTTGTTCCCTTCCCCTTTCTCCACCTGGCAGAAGGTTTTTCAACCTGTGCTGTCTCCCCTGTCACCGTTCTCCTTGCAGTAAATTGGGCAATGAGGAAGGTAGAGGTGACATCTGAGATCTGTTGAGACCAGATGTCACAGACCGGTGGGGGAGATCCCTGCAGAGGAGTGCTGCTCATTAAATTCCATCTTAGAGAGAACAATTTCAAGGTACACCTGCTCTTCCAGCATCAATTCTGTGAGGTGTAAGTGGCTCCTCGTGCCCCTGCAGCTGGTGTCAGCTTAATGCCATCTTAATTAGAGCCATATCAGTGTCCCTCATCTCCTGGAAATGGAACACCAGTTTCCATCAGGGCAGAATAGTGTGCTGTTTTGATGTAGATGCCTCATCCCTGGAAGTGTTAAAGGCCAAGCTGGGTGGAGCTCTGAGCAACCTGGTCAAGTGGAAGGTGTCCCTGCCCTTGGCAGGGGGGTGGATCTGAGCGATCCTCAAGGTCCCTTCCATCCCAAACCGTTCAATGATACTGTGATTGCTTGGGGCAGCTGGTGACTGCACTGATTCTGGTCTGACCACCCTGAGTTGATTCTTTAATTTGCAACCAACATATGAGAAGTTTTGCCACTTCCCGGACACGTTTAAGAAGCGAGTCAGTAAGAACACCTTCTTCGTGCTGGTGCGAGTGGTGGATGAGCTGTGGTGAGTTGCTTTCTTTGTTTTGGATGGGAGATGTGGGGTCAGTAACATAAAGAGTTCTGGTAGTTGGAAAGATGTGGGTTTTAGGAAGATGTGGTTTTTTGGAAGGTGTGGTTTTTAAACCCTATTTAGGATGGCAGCTGAAACCCCTGACCCTGAGCAGTCAGATACTTGCACTGCTGAACCCTCTTGCTGGAAGAGCAGGTTCTTGGTGTGTCCTGACTGGGTCAGTGACTTTGAAATAACCAGCAAAAGGGGAATCTGGGAAAGGAAGAGCTGGGAAGAGGAGGAATTTCAGTCACCCAATTCTGCTCGTAGAAAAGAGTGACAGGATTCAGTACAGGTACGAACTGTAGCTCAGTCTCGTAGTTCTGATGCCTGCCTTGGGTTTTCCATCTTTCTCTCAGCTTAGTGGAGTTGACAGAGGAAATTCTCAAGCTGCTGATGGACCTGGTCTTCCGGCTGGTCTGCAATGGGGAGCTGAGCCTTGCCAGGGTGTTACGCAAGAATATCCTTGATAAAGTGGACCAGAAGAAAATGCTGAGCTACGCCAACTCCATCAAACCTCTTGCAGCCCGAGGGGTGGCAGCCAGGTGAGGGAAGATGCATGGAACCATGTCTTGGTCCTTTGAGAGCCAGGGAATCCCTTTCCTGCAGTCACAAAAGTTTTTTTCAGCCCAAAAGATAAGAAAGAGAAGAAAGGAGGTCACATTTTCTTAGCCTTTGTACTTCATCCTTGTTTTCCACAGGCCAGGGACGCTGCATGATTTCCACAGTCATGAAATAGCCGAGCAGCTGACCCTCCTGGATGCTGAACTCTTCTATAAAATCGAGGTACAGAGATGAGGATGGGGAAAGGGTGGTGGGAGGGATTGGAACGTGCACCCCCTACAATCTCCGGTATTCCCTGCCAGCTCTCCAGGACACCTGTCGGGCTGTGGGACACAGCTGATCTCGTGTCAGCAAGTGGCTGCAAACACACACTGGGAATGTTGAGGCAGGAATCCCGTTTTAATGTGTGGTATTTTCTCACCCCTCTCCTCTTCTTCCTTGGCAGATCCCAGAAGTTTTGCTTTGGGCAAAGGAACAAAATGAAGAGAAGAGCCCCAACCTGACACAGTTCACAGAGCACTTTAATAACATGTCCTACTGGTAAGGAGCTTAAAACAACCATACCACTGAACTGTGCTTAACATCCAGTGCCTTTCACATATTCCAAATATTCCTTGCTGACTTGGGTTCCTTTGTTACAAGTGGAATAACATATATTTTTGGCCAGGAAGTAGATGCAGAACACTCATCAAAAACCTCAGAATACATGAGAAAGAAAATCAGGAATGTTGTGGAGGTTTCCTCTTGTAAATAAATGCACTCTGTAAAATTCTCCTGTCTCTGTTGTGGATTAGAGTGCTGCATTAAAGTTGAAGTTACCATGAGCTTTTTAGTATTGTTGGCCCATCCTTATCAGTGATCAAGTTTTTTTAATGAAAAAAGAAGAAGTCTGAGATTTGCTTAAGTGGGTTAACCTTTTTTTTTTCTGTCTGTTCTTCCAGGGTCCGTTCAATAATTATGCTACAAGAGAAAGCCCAGGACCGAGAGAGGCTGCTCCTTAAATTTATAAAGATTATGAAGGTACCAGCTTGGACTTCCCTGTGAATCACAAACACTGCTCCTTAAAGGAGCAGGGTAGTGTGACCTTCTGGTTGTTAGAGCTGTTTGATGCTTAGAAGGCTTTTCAGATCTCTTGAGTAACTGGAATATTCTCCCTCTTCGCAGCACTTACGAAAGCTGAATAATTTTAATTCCTATCTGGCCATTCTTTCTGCACTGGATTCTGCCCCCATCAGAAGGCTGGAGTGGCAGAAGCAAACCTCAGAGGTGAGGAGCAGTCGGGGCTGTCATCTTTGGGGGAAGGGTAACTGTGGATATGTATGAAACAGCCGGGTGGTTTCAGTAGCTCAGCAACGTCCCGGGGTGGAGGGATGGTGGATAACTGCTCTCCAGTGAGTGTAATGCCACAGTGTTGGAAGCCTGCAGCATGGCTGGGCATTCTGACAGCTGCAGGAGTGCCAGCACAGTCTCAGGGGAGAACAGCCACCTCCTCTCTGCAAACCGAGGCCTGCTGAGGCTGAAGGCAGTGAGGCTCTGCATATGCGCAGTCGGGGTCAGGCTGAATAAATCACTTGGAGGTGTTTCCAGGACAGCATTAACTCCCTGGCCTGCATAGCTCTCTGGGGAGAGATGACAGAGAAAATGGGTTTGCAGCAGCGGTGTCACCATGGGATTTGTGTCCTGGCAGGGCCTGGCTGAGTACTGCACCCTGATCGACAGCTCCTCGTCCTTCCGTGCCTACCGAGCGGCTCTGGCCGATGTGGAGCCCCCCTGCATCCCGTACCTGTGAGTGGGCAGTTTCTCTCCTCTGCACATTAAAATGGTTCCTTCAAGGCTTTCTCAGCAGCTTCTGCTGAGCTCAGCACTTGCCTTTTGCCAGACATCTGGGATAAGGCAGCACTGTGCCACATCAGCCCATGGGCCCTCTCTGGAGGGATTTGTCTGGGAGCACAGGAAGGCAGGGTGGCAAATACCAATTTGTAAAAAAGCTTCTTCCAGCCTGGTCCTTCTGTCCATGAAGGGTGAAAGAGCAACTTCAGCATCCTTAGTGTGCCATGAGTGCCTCCCCTCAGCTGTGCATGGTGGGTGCTTGCACCTGAACACCATTGGATCTGCTGCTGGGGGAATGTGGGAGGCTGTTGGATTGCACTGAGCTGCATTTTGGGCTGGCCACCCTGCCCCTGTGTGACTAACCTCTGTACCTGTTTACCTACTCCCTGGCCTGCTGGCCCTTTCTCTCTTTCAGAGGCTTGATTCTGCAGGATCTGACCTTTGTTCATCTGGGAAACCCCGATTACATTGACAGCAAAGTGAACTTTTCCAAGCGTTGGCAGCAGTTCAACATCCTGGACAGCATGAGGTGCTTCCAGCAAGTGTAAGTGCAGCAACAGGGGGATCAGAGCTGTCTGTGGGGCACCAGGTGGGGATTGGGGTGTGTGGGAATGATGTCTGGGAACCCCTAGGGGAAGGGAAGGGAATCTAAAGTCAAAGCATCTTGATGGAGATGTAAGGAGAGCTGGGAATGTCAGGGCTCTGGTCTCAGTTCTCCTTCCCTCTCTAGGTTAGATAAAAGTTGTGAAGACATTTTTCTGATGTTAGTTTTGAGATCCAGTGCAAAGTTTTCCCACTCCTCTCTTTAGGATGAGGTTTTCCTCCAGGTTTTGCCCTTGCTGGTTCCTGTGTTCTCTAGGATATGGAGGATTTTCTTCAATGCTGTCTTGCAGCAGAGGCAGCACACCTAACTGCTGATTTCTGTGTGATAGGGTTCTTTTTTCCCTTCCAATTCAGCAACAGGCATGATGGGTTTTCCTCTTTCTGGTGTCACACCTTGTCATGAGTACTGGGCACAGACCACAGTGCTGGATGTGTTAGAGCAGGGCAGGGGTGGCCAAAATTGGGAGAGGTCCCCAGGTAGCCCCTCATTTAACCCTCCTCTGTGGTTTTCCAGACATTACGACATCAAAAGAAATGACGACATAGTGTCATTCTTCAACGACTTCAGCGACCACCTGGCTGAGGAGGCCCTGTGGGAACTGTCCCTCAAAATCAAACCTCGCAACATTACGAGGCGGAAAACAGATCGAGAAGAGAAGACCTAGGAGGAGGGGTGGTGCGAGCGAGGAGAATTGCTCCGCAGAGGCGCCGAGGGCAGCTATGAGACTGGAGTTCAATGTTTGTACCTGTCACTGGATGACACACCCTCCCTCCCAGCTGGCAGCCATCCCTGGGGGTGGGAATGCCGGGCGCTCGCAGCCAGCCGGAGGTGACCGCGCGCGGCCGCCGCCGAGGGCAGAGATCGGCCGGTGCTCGCTGCACCCGCCCTCCTTCTCCTCCCGTCCCTCTGTGCCATGAACCAGCTTTAAACCCGGGGAGAGAGCTGTGTGGAAGGAGAGTCCTGCGCCAGCGTGTTGGTTTGCTGGCCCGTTCCATCCGGGAATAGCCCGGCTTCTGTTTCCATCCACAAAGGAAGGTCAGCGAGAGCTCAGCGCCGACAGACTGTCTCTGGAGTGGCGTCGGGCAGGAGCAGCCGTGGAAGCCAAGGGTTTGAGACTCCCCTGCAATGCCACCTCCGAACGTGTTCATCCATAGGAGATGAGGATGGAAGTGTTCCTGCTGCCTGCCAGAGGAGCTCTGCTTTCAGAGAGCTGCTTGTGTTTACAGGGGTCTTGGTTCGCCCCAGATCTCTGGCGCCTTCTCCGTGGGAGGAAGGCACCGGTCGTAGATACGGAAGAGGCACTGAAAACGTGGGCAGGGACCCGCCATCTCCAGTCATCACATCCCCCTCCTCCTCTCAGATCTCGTTATTTAAGCAACGGTAAATCCCTCTGGACCTGGAAACTCGGACTACCCAGGTACTGCGGGTCACTGTCCGTGGCCCCGTGTCTCTTAGCGATGGTACTTAGCTTTTGCACAGGAAATGCTGTAGTATATGGACTGTACATACTAGTGTTTAGAATCCTTTGGGGATTTTTGATGCATGTCTGAATACCGATGAATTTATAGGAAAAAAAAAAAAAAAGAGAAAAAGAAAAAGTGCAAACCGGTATGTATAAAATTCACAACCAGTGACAATGTTGTTCCAAGTGCTGGAAGAAAGGAGGCTCGGGGCTCTGGAGCAGGTGCAGGAGCCAGGCCAAGGAGCCAGCGGGTCCATTTCTGGGTTGGAAATGGGAAGCAGGAAGGAGCCCTGTTCCCAGCCGAGCCACCCCATCCTCCCACCCCACTCCTCTCTCCTCTCACTGTTGCCAAATGTTTGTTCCCGGGGGTCCTGGTTGGGCTGGCCCTCGGTGCTGTGCTTTGTGACCTGTGCTTTGGCAGGAGCCCCAGCAGGTCCCCCGTGCCAGAGCCAGCAGGGCAGGGGCAGCCTGGCATGGAAGAGCAAAGGGCAGTCTCATTTCCCACACATGCAGTGTTAACCCCAATCTGTTCAGTGTGCCTTATTCAGCCCCTCTGTCCCCTCTCTGTGTCCCACCCAGGGTGTCCTCCCCAGCGCAGCCCCAGCCAGGCCATTTCACATCCCTCCTCTCTGCCCTCCTCCGATAGTTTACAGTTGGATCGTGGGTTTGAGTGTGCCCTGCAGGTTTCAGCAGCCTCGCGAGTCCCTTCTCAGCTTTCTGTGGTCACAGGTTTTTACAGGGTTCTAACAAAATCCTGCAGGTTTAGGGCAGCAGCTCCTGGAATACAGACGTGGAATTTCACAGAGCATCCTTAACTTATTTCTCAATAGCAGCTCTGTGCCTGCTCAAGCCTCTGTTTATTCTGGGTGAATCAGAGCTGCACTTACTTCCTTCTCCAAACAGATTGCAAAGACTTGGCCAGCTCTGCCTGACTCCCAGGAGGGAGTGACAGCCGCACTGCCCCACTCGCAGGGTTTTACCCAGCTTGGTTATTTTCGTGAAGATTCAGGCACAGGACTCACACAGTGACCAAGTGCTGAAGCACAGAGGGACCACTCCTGTCCATGAGGAAACCACCTGGGAGAGGAGAGTGGGGGGTCCAACACAGTTTGTGCTGTGCAGCCCCAGAGCAGGAGGAGCAGGAATCTTCTGTGCTGAAACACGTTATCTGAACAGGAACACTTCAAAAGGGGGTTATTTTCATGGCACTAAGGGCGTTGGAGTGGTGTGTTGAGTCCAGCCAAGGCTTTGCAATCTCCAAAGGCTTCCCAGCCTTCCACAGAGGAAGTAATGCCTGTGTTTTCCTTTGTAAATAAGGTTTTTAAAAGCCCAACATGTTGAGGTGCTGAGAAGGCCGATGGAGTGGGCTTTGCCCCAGCATCTCTGAGCGCCCCTTGGGTGAGGGCTGTGTCTGGGCTGTTCTGGGGGTGTTGTGTGTGCTGGTAGCACTGGAACCACCCCATCTGGGGGTGCAGAGGCCATGGCTGGGGCTTGATGCCACAGAGGAACAGGAGGGTGCAGCTTGTCCCCATCCAGCTGAATAACCGTGTTACACAATGGGGGAGCAATTGGCTCACAGGTTGGGCACAGAGTTACAGTGGCTGGGCTGACATCAGGCTGGCAGGTGTCACTAGTGGGGTTCTGCAGGGCTCCATCCTCGGCCCAGTTCTCCTCAACATCTTCATTAATGACCTGGACATGGGACTGGAAGGAATCCTTACAAACTTACACCAGGAGCTGTCGACTCCCTTGAGGGCAGAAAGGCCCTGCAGAGAGACCTCAGCAAATTAGAGAGATGGGCAACCACCAACCACAGGAAGTTTAAGAAGGGCCAGTGTCCCATTCTGCACCTGGGATGGGGCAACCCTGGCTGTGTGTATAGACTGGGGAATGAGATGCTGGAAAGCAGCTGTGGGAAGGGACCTGGGGGTCCTGGTCGATGGCAAATTGAATATGAGTCAGCAGTGCCCTGGCAGCCAGGAGGGCCAACCGTGTCCTGGGGGGCATCGGGCAAAGCATCACCAGCCAGGTGAGGGAGGGGATTGTCCCTCTCTGCTCTGACCTGGGGTGGCCTCATCTTAGATATTGTGTGCAGGTTTGGGCACCACAATGTAAAAAAAGACATTAAGCTATTAGAGAGTGCCCAGAGGAGGCTGTGAGGATGGTGAAGGGTCTGGAGGGGAAGTGTTGTGAGGAGCAGCTGAGGGCACTTGGTCTGTTCAGCCTGGAAAAGAGGAGACTGAGGGGAGACCTCATTGAGGTCTTCAACATCCTCATGAGGGGTAGCGGAGGGGCAGACATTTGATCTCTTCACTCTTGTGACCAGTGACACGAGTGGGGATGGGAGGTCTGAGTGGCCACAGCACTTCGTCCAGTGTGATGGGGCTGAGCCCCCCAGCTTTCCTCCTCCATGCTTTCCTTCCTCAGCTTTCCTCCCCTCTTCTCCCCTTTGCTCTGCCATCATCCCCAGCTGAGCAGTGTCCCAACCCCAGTCTCATAGGGCTGGAGAGACCCTAAAGGAGGGTTCCCTTTTCCTGGAGCAGCACTCTCCAGGGGCAGCCCCTGGGGAGCAGAAGCCCAGAACATCCCTGTGCAAGACTGGCTTGTTCCTGTGTCTCTCAGGCAGTGTTCTCAAGGCCATCACCTCCTTTTGGGGAGAAGGAAGAGTCTGAGTCCCCTCTCCCCATGGGGCAGGGAGCGGGGAGAAGCGATGCCCCCAGTCACCAGCCCCCTGCCCCACTCCCAGGCATCTCCCCCCCAGGCAGTTCCTTTGTATTATAGAATTACCACGAGCCCCATCCCCATGGTGGCATCTTCCTCTGAACATTTCAGACCTGTAACTTTTATATTAAAGACAAATAAAACACCAATAACGAGCCCGCCTGATGATCCTGTTTACAGTGCATGCACAGTCTGTGGATTAAAGTGACAATCGAATCCGCCTCTGGTGCTGGTGTGGCCTCATGTTTTCTCAAGTGCCCCTCGTGGGTTTCCTCTGCCCGTGGCTCTTTTTCCCTTTATTTTTCCACTGTAAAACCTCTTCCTTCCCTCTGCTTGGGAGGGGACATCTGCTACTGTTTCTTTCCTCCGGGCACTGGTGCTCCCTGTGTTGGGGGGTTTTGGCCCCACAAACCCCGTGCCCAGCCCGTGCCGGCGGCCGAGGGCTATAAATAACCCCTAAAGAACCCCAAGCACTATTTTCAGTCCTGAACAGCGTTCAAAATTCCTCTGGAAATAATTGTCACAGGCCAGCTCAGGAGGAGAATGCCCAGACACTGACTGTCCCACAGGCCCGGCACGGTGGGAGGGAGCCGTGGGGTGTCAGCAGCTCATCCTCCCCTGCAGCAGCTCAGAGTGGCACCCCCAGGCCTGGGGCCATGTGGGCTCCTTGAGGATCTGGAACCCTGGCACCCACCTGCTTTTGGGAAAACCCTGACTTCGCTGATTATAGGAGACCTTACCCTGAATTTTGTGGTGGACGAAGGCCATGGCAAAGGGGAGATGGAGGAGGAGGAAGGTCCTTGGTGTGCAGAGAAAGCAGAAGCTTTGACTATATTTTATTTCAGCCTGGAAGCAGCAAGGAGGTGGCGGTACAGTGTCTGTGTCTGTGTGTGCAAAATTACTGGAGAAGTTGCATATGTGAGTTTTGTATCTTCCCACATTATTAATGGCTGGTGAGGGCTTCCCATACACCTGGGCTCTCTGTTACACCTCAGCCATTAGCTCTCTCTCTAGTCCCAGTTCTACAGATGCTCCCTCTGCTCCAGAGTCACATTTGGCACCTCCATGGTAATGGGATTCAGAATCCCACAGCAGAGCCTGATCCCATACATGGTGCCACTGCTCCAACATGAGTCCTTGCCCAGAGCTGGCTCTGGCATTGCTTCAGTCTGGTTCCTCAGCAGGGCTGAGGGGGTGGGTGAAGGCACACGTGGCTCTGGAGCAACTCCTCACCCCACCAGGAAGGACAGAGCTGCCCGTCTGCCCAGATGACGCTTTGTGGTCACCCGTTTCCCAGGACAGCTGGGAATGTGGCTGTGGCCACTTCACCTGTCCATGCCCACCCAGGGCCATGGTGAGCTGCAAGGAACCCTTGGCACACACACCCTGGGGCTCAGGGTCCCCGTTGGGCATACAGGGTTGCCAGGACACAGATGACCCAAGTGATAGAGACGAACATCCCGAAGAGGAGGCTGAAGAGGATGAGGAAATAAGCCTTTCTGGATGCTGAGAACGCCCGGTCTATGTCCCCACGCCTGATCGCAGCCCGGGTCTGGTGCAAGGGAGAGAAGGGGAGGGGTTAGAAGAGACCCGCAGCATCCAGAAAGGCAGAGGGGGGATGTTTGAGATTGCCAGGCGGGTCCTTACCTCATGGGAGTAGATGAGGGCCATGGCCCCGGTCAGCATGCAGCAGAAGATGGTCACCAGCACTGCCTCCACCAGGTGGTCCTTGGGTAGTTCCTGCCTGCTGTACCTGGCAGGCAATGGCCTCGGTCTCGGCTGCCCGGCGTACTGCGGCACGGCAGGGGAGCAGCTGAATCTCCAAACCCCGAGTGTGTTCCCCGCCCCTCCAGCAGTGCTGCTCAAGCATCACTTGGGGCACCGCGTGTACCCCACAAACCCAGGAGGGGAGGTAAGGGGCAGAGCGGGGCAGAGCGCATCAGGGAGGGGGATACGTACGATGTTGTAGGGCCGGGCCCCAGGCGGGATGCCCTGGGGATGGAAAGGCCGCACTCTCTGTCCGAGCTGCGGCTGTTGGAAGATGGGCTCCTGAGAGCAGCCGGGCGGGCACTCGAAGCGAACTCTTTTGCGGGGTGGGGGCGCGTAGGGCGGCGGGTCCCCCTTCACAGCCTTGTTGGTGGCTGCCCCCACGGGCGTGTCCTCACGGCCCGCGGGGGGGTCCTGGGGGGTGTCAGAGCTGGGCGGCTCCTCGGCGACCCCTTGTCCCCCCTGCTCCGTTCCCTGGGCCATGGGAGCGGGGTCGGGGGGTCGGGGGTCGGGGCGTCTAGGGTCGGGGTCGGGGCCCGGGCCCGTACCCTGAGGCCCGGCTGGCGGATCACTTTCCATCCCGCGGAGACGCCTGCGGGGACGGGGAGGTTGCGATGGGAAGGAACAGCCCCGGCACACCCACCCCGGTGGTCACCCCAAGTGCGGGGCTGGGGCTGCCCGTGAGACCCCTTTGTGCCATCCGCGGGCCCCGAGCCCCCATCGCCCGTCTCCTGCACCGCCCCGATGTCCCAGCCCCGTCCCCACTCACGGCGGTGCCCGAGGGGGTCCCCACCTGCCGCCGCTCGGGACCCGGACCCCGCAACGGCCCCCGGACCCCGCAACGGCCCCGCCACGGCCCGCGGGTCCCGCGTGGCCCCAACGGGCGGCGGGAGCGCAGCCCCGGGGCCGGGCCGGTTAATCATTGACCGCCTGTTTGCACGGGGCCCCGCGCGGGTGGGGCCGCCCCCGGACCGGCCCTGAGCCCCCGGGACCCCCGGATGGAGACCCCCGGACTGGGACCCCGGCGAGGCAGACGGCGGCGTCCGTCCTGCCCCGGGGAGCGGGTCCGGGGTTCATCGCGGTGCCGCAGCCGATGGAGCCGGCGCTGGGTGCAGGGAACAGTCACGGAGCTACACAGCGGTTTCTCCATGTATAAACATACGATTTGTTTTTGTTTTAAAATGTAAAACGTGCTGTCCGCGTGTTCCGGCTGCGTCTATTTATCTACAAAATATATCATAGAATCATAGAATCATAGAATAGATTGGGTTGGAAAAGACCTCCAAGATCATCGAGTCCAACCCCTGATCCAACTCCAATTACTATATCATGGCACTAAGGGCCACATCCAATCTCTGCTTAAAAACCTCCAGGGATGGTGAATCCACCACCTCTCTGGGTAGGCTGTTCCAATGCCTGATTACCCTCTCTGTAAAGAATTTCTTCCTAACATCTAACCTAAACCTCCCCTGGCAGAGCTTGAGCCCATGTCCCCTTGTCCTATT